TACAAAGAATTGCTTTGAGAACAGACTCTGTCTTAGAATGTACTAACACAATTAGCAGCTTGCAAGTTTCACACACAGAGGGAGAGAAACAGTACCAAAAACCAAGAGTCCTCTTAATTAGTAATACCCTGGAATTTAAACTATGGGGAATCAAACTCATTTGTGATTTTAATACAGAACTTCTTTAATATGATCCAACACTACTACTGATGTGACATGATGAGACACTGTAATCAAAACATTTTATTTTTAAGGTTGTCAAGGCGTTTCAATCTGTACTTCATATGGATTGAAATGCCTTAACTTATTTCCTAGATCAAAGTGTCTCCTGTTTGTATCATAATGAAACAGTTTGATACTTTGATCTAGGAAATAAGTTAAGTACTGTGTTCTAGTGAGAGATGCAGCTGTGTTCAATATCCTTATTAGCCTGGAATCATTTGTCTATTTACTGTTCACTTTCGTTCTACCATTGTACAGTAACTGGAAAAATATTTGGTTTTGTTCTGACTTGGAATGAAAACAAATTTCCTGTAAAATGAAAAGTGGAATTTCCTATCAGCATCTCTGAAAGTAGGGCCATAAGGGCTCAATCTTGTAAGGTGCTAACACCTGTGAGAATTGCTAAAGGCACTCAATCTCACAGGATGTGTTCAGTGTCATGTGGGAGGGAGTATTTATCAATGGACGCTATGCTTTTCAGAAAAGCAGCCACAGACTCACTTCTTTGCTATACAAAAGGCAGAACAGCCCCCTAACTACTACTGTATAGTATTATAGACCTATGCATAATTCCTTGTCCTCTTTATGGGCCCAATCCTACAAGCCTTACTTGCATTTGACTTGATACTGCATAACATAGTGATCAAAAAATTAGAACAAAATAAAATTAACCATGGCACACATTTAATGGATTAAAAACTGGCTAACTGACAGGTTTCAATATGTAACTGTAAACAGGGATTCATCATTGAGAGAGTGTTTCCAGTATGGTTCCACAGGGATCGGTTCCTGGCTCTATGCTGTTTAACATTTTTTATCAATGAGTTTGAAGAAGCCATTAAAGTTTGCAGAAGACCCAAAAATTGGGGGCAGTGGCAAATAATGAAGAGGACAGGTCATTGATTCAGCACAAACTAGATCGCTTAGTAAACTGGGTACAAGTAAACAATATGTGTTTTAATATGGCCAAATGTATACATCTAGGAGCAAAGCATGTAGGCCCAACTTAGGGGACTCTATCCTGGGAAGCAGGGACTCTGAAAATAATTTGGGGCCTGTAGTGGATAATCAGTTGAACATGAGATCCTAGTGTGATGCTGTGGCCAAAGAGCTAATGCCCTCCTGGGATGCCAAAACAAGGAAATCTTGAGTAGGAATAGAGTGGTTATTTTACCTCTGTATTTGGCATTGGTGTGACTGCTGCTGGAATAGTGTCCAGTTCTGGCGCCCACAATTCAAGAAGGATGTTGATGGATTGGAGAGGGGTCAGAGAAGAGCCAAACGAATGATTAGAAAACATTCCTTAAGTGATAGACTCAAAGAGTTCACTTTATTTAGCTTAACAAATAAAAGGTTAAGGGATGACTTGATCACAGCCTATAAGTATCTACAGGAGTTTGAATATTTAATAATGGGCTCTTCAGTCTAGTGGAGAAAAGTATAACATGATCTGATGGCTGGAAGCTGAAGCTTGACTAATTCAGTCTGGAAATGAATAAATTTTTTACAGACTAATTAACTATTGGAACAATTTACCAAGAGTGGATTCTTCATCACTGACAATTTCTAAATCAAAATTGATGATTTTCCTAAAAGATATGTTGTAGGAAATATTCTGCAGAAGTTCTTTGGGCTGTGTTATACAGGAGGTCAGACTAGATGATCACAATGGCCCCTTCTGGCCTTGGAATCTATGAATCTACTCACAAGTTACCTCATCATGTGTGTAGTCTTGCTGTAATAAATGGGTACATCACCTGCCAGGGATACTCGGGCAGCTTCATTGACCTACTTTTCATACACCAACAAGTCAAATCAGTGATATTTATGACGTGTTATTTAATGCATTAAAACAAAATTGCCAAAGGCTTGGTTCTGACCTCACACTTATTAAATGCATTGATCACAGTGTAGCTTGTCCTGATTTGCACAAATATAAGTGGAAGAATCAGGCTATAAGTAAAAATCTCAAACCTGATTCTCTCAGTTATGCACTTTCACCAACCATTACTGTATCACTTCCTTGTTACTCATTTCAAGTCTGTCTGTACTTCATTAGGTCACATTGTGGAAAATCACAAATCCAAAATGCAAAACTGATTTAGGGGTGGTAAAACAGAGAGTTTCAGTTTTCCAAAACACTAACTAGAGAGGTTATAAAAGGACAAGAGCAATGCACATGATGTGGTTTGTTTGGCAGGCAGAAATCATAATATCACATGCACTGTCCATGATACTGCCTGACTTGTGTTTTCAAACTCTTGTGAATTAGAGAGTTTTTATTTTATTTTATTCGTGACATTTTCATATACTGCTTATCAGGTGGCATCTAAATGATTTGTCTGTCTACAACCCTCCAAGAGTAGCAGTAACAACTTCTGAAGGGTGAGATGTCCTTCTCAAAAACTGCCACCTCACAGCAATGGGAATGAAAACAAGTGTGAATAGGAATTTCTGAGATGAGCCAGAGAAACCTCCAAAATGGCTCCCTGTTGAGATCAAATGGGGGTTTGGGGCCAGTAACTATGGAAGACTAGAATTTGCACCCAGAGATTTTCCACTGCAAATGCTTGAATATGTATGTTCAAAGGCCACTCTGAAGTGAAGTTGAATCTAGCAGTAAGTCCCATCCTGCTCTTTTTGGAAGGCAAGGAAGTCAGCCCCCAGCAGCCTCCTGAAAGGATCTGCAGCTTCGGGCATACAAAGCTGCCCCTTAGAAGATACCTACTGCAGCAGAGCATGCAGGCACCTGCCATTTCAATAGCTCTTCAATCTATCCATTTAATCTTTTCAGTGGTGTCTACTGGCCAAGACACTCAGATCCTTAAGCGCTGAAGGATAGTAAGATAAGGACATCTTTAGTTCTCTTTTTGGATGTTGTCCTCTGAGCAATTCTCTCATCAACTGTTGCATTTAATACTGCACTTGCATTTGGTTAGCAGGAGGAGAATGCTCCCTTCACTTTTTCAGTGCAAAGTATTTGCAAGCATTTGGCCAGGCCTAAAGCACTATCACCTGTGTTGCATCTAGAAAAATCTTACAGTGCTCAGTGGCTGGGATCCACTTTTTTTCTTTAGTTAAATACCAGGTCAGTCCTAACCTCAGTCTAACATTCTTAGGTCTAGTCTCCAGTGCAGACTTAACTCAGGCTGAACTGCCAGTTTTTTCTCCTTACTATGTTCTGTGTTCATACGTCCACATGCCTCTATACGAGCTACATTCTGATGTAGCCACTGCTGCCTATGCTATGGGGCAGACCCCGAAGCAGCTACAGTGAATAAGTTCAACTAAGGGCCATCACAACACAGACAGGATGTCCTCCAATCCCTTCCCGTAAGCCCTCTGACCAGAAGTGGACTAGAAGTGGCTCCTGGGAAGCCAGGATGGCTTACTGGGCTCTCCTCACCCCTGTCCCCTCCCACCATGCATGACAGAGCTATGAGAGGCAGGAAAGAGAATGGGGGATGGGCAGGGACATTTGCAGGGTTTGGAAATAGTGATGGGGGATTTTCCAGATCCTAGTGTCTGGAAACTAAGGGGTAGTGAAGCCTGGTACCCTGCAGGACATGTATAGTTTGCGCTGCAGCCAACGGAGTGGGGGAATCTTCTACAGGCACCATGTTACTGATCAGCCAGCTTTGATCTAACTTGGAGAGGAAATTCAGGGCCAAAGGCCATTGAGAGTGCAGCCCCCCTGCGTGGAGAAGGTGTATGGTGTGGCAAGTGCCCCACCAGGTAGGAGTCTCAGTCTCCAGTGTGGCAGGTTTAAGGAAGAGTGGTGCTTCACACAGATAATACAGGGAAGGTGTGAGAAAGCTTACCCAAATCCCAGTAAGAGGTAAGACAACTGCCTTCCTTTACCAGGGAAACTGAGGCACAGTTAAGTAGTGCAATGGAAGACCCCAGGCAAAAGGAGGGAAGCCAAAGCAGATACAGACTACTGCATAAGATGTGATATCTATTGCTTCACATTCTGGGTCGTGCCCTCAGGATGGGTATTTTGTACTTGGCAGTCAGCTACTTCCTCAGTCGCAGCCATACTCCATGAACTAAGGGCAAATTAGGAGATGGAGAATTTATTGAGGGGTGGACAGTCCCTTCATCAGTGAAAGAGGATTCTTGGAATGGATGATTAGATGCCAGAGTCAGACTTAAAACTTGAAAGGAATGCAGTGGGAGGCATCAGGTCTGGTACGAAACAAACAAACAAAAGTTGCCTTCAAGTAAGGCCAGCAGGATTTTAGCCTTAAACACGATCCACCACAGAATTGTCTCTAGGGCTTGCTCCTCTCAGGTGTTGAGCACCCTCAGCTCATAGGAACTTCAATGGGAGCCAAGGGTTCTCAATGGGATTGCACTCTAACAGCTTTTGCAGCTCTGGTATAAATTAGTCCAATCTTACTCCAATGGAAGTCAGTGGGAGTTTTGCTATCAGACTTCAGTGGAAGCAGGATAAGGCACCTGTAGCTTTACTGTTAGGTTTTTAATGTGAATATCTGTCAACATTATCATCAAAACATTTTGAAAAACAGGGAGTGAATTTTCTACCATTGGATTCTATTTTTATTTTAATTTCTTCATAAATGAGGGGTCACAATCTGGCAAACAAAGGCTACCTAAAACATTGCTTATTTTAAGGTAACTTAGTTTCCGAGTAAAATATATGACTCTTTGTGACTGAAGTGGTTTATGGATCCATAATTACGTTGCTACTGCTCAGCAAGGACTTCAAAAAGTGCACATTCCATTATAATCATAAAATCATAACCAGCACGCTATCAAATGCAGAATATTTAATGCAATTTGAAAACAGCAATTTCCCAAATTACACAAATAGAACTAATGACAGTTGTCATTCTTCACAATGTAACTTTGTGTAGAAGACTTTAGGCTTCCATCATCTCTTCCCCCGCTCGATTTCACGTCCACGAAAGAGACAGCTCCCGGCTGAAGGTTTCAAGATAAATTTCAGGGGCTGGCGATCGTTCATGGCTGTTTGAATAGTGTAAATACTGGGTTTGAGCCACTACTGTGGCATGGCATTTATCACAACACAACGTGAATTACCATTTTCAATCACAGCTGATAGGTCCCGAATAGAAGTATGATTTCTAGGACATTTTGTGCAGATCAGTTTTCTCGGGTTATATATTTTAGTCTCATGCGACATACCATCACATAAACGAGGTATTTCAATACAGCGATTGACATTCAGCAGAAAACACTTTCTGGGGGCTGAGAAGTTCCTATTATAGAAGTCAATGTAACTACGCACGATAAACAACACGTTCACTAAAATCAGATCCTCGCTCTCTTTTTAGCAACGGCACCTCGTTTTGTCTGTCGTGCTTTTGGGGAGCGGCGAAGGCAGACTGTGTCAGATTCGTATATTTGCCCATGCATTCCCCCCCCCCCTCCGCCCCGAATCACGTTTTGGAAAGGAGATGAGGCTGCATTGCAAAAGAAGAACCGTCTCCACTGTGTATTTTCATGCAAAGCTGAGACGGTCGGGTGCCATCTCTCGCTCTGTCTCGCTTTTCTGTGAAGCAATGGCATGTTCTGCTCTGGGGATTCGGGTCCTGAGGTTCCCCGCCTCTTCTTCCCCACCCCCCCAGCCAGCAGCTTCGCAAAGAGCTTTTCATAGCTCCCAGAGCAGATCCAAGCTCTCCTCGTCGGCTTCACTTTCGTGGCTGAGTTCGCTTGTCCGTCAGTAAAGGGTGCAATTTAGTACGAGTGCAATTACCAAGAGCTATTAACGCAACCGGTAAAAAAAAAATAAGTAAATAAAAAAGCAGCCCCAAATACTGTCACACAGAGCTCGAAGGGCACCGACCTCGGCTTACAGCGCCAGGGGAGGAAGGACGGGTGCCTACGCTTGCACCGCGCGCGCGGCGTTGTCCAGAGGAATCAATGAAGGAATGAATGAATGGGGAGAGCCGGGAAAAGAATGAATGGGGCCCGGCTGCGCAGCCACACGCCGCCCGCTCGCAATGAATGAACCGCCCCTCGGCCGCGGCGCCCCAGCGCCGCACCGGGGCGCTGTTGCCCCGCCGCGGCGGCGGCGGCTGGTGGAATCCCCCGGCCGCGCACGTGGCCGGGGCGGAGGAGGCCGAGCGCCGCCAACGCTAGATGTCACCTGGAGGCAGCGGTGGCGGAGGCCGCTGCTGTGGTGGGGGTGGGGGCGAGGGGAGGCTATAAAAGTAACTCCGCGGCACGTGCAGACTTCAGGGAAACTTCAGAGCCCGGCCGCGGCCGTAGAAGGCGCTGGGGCTGCCTGCGCCGCGCCGGGCACCCTCCCTGTGAGCCGGGCGGGCGGATCCCCGAGGGCTGCAGGCGAGCCCGCTCCTTGCCCCAAGGTGGCCCTGGGATGTTGGGCGAGTGAGGCGGGGGCGAGGAGGAGCAGCAGCATGAGCGGCAATGGGAGCGGGCTGAACGCCTCCCACCCGCCCGCGGAGCTCAGCCTGGACCGGCCCGCCTGGGTGGCTTCCACTTTGGCCGCCATCCTCATCTTCACCATCGTGGTGGACGTGCTGGGCAACCTGCTGGTCATCCTGTCCGTGTACAGGAACAAGAAGCTGCGGAACGCTGGTAAGGAGAGGGGAGGGGTTGCTCAGTGGTTTGAGCATTGACTGGCCAAACCCAGGGTGGTGAGTTCAATCCTTGAGGGGGCTATTTAGGGAGCTGGGGCAAAAATTGGGGATTGGCCCTGTTTTGAGCAGGGGGTTGGACTAGATGACCTCCTGAGGTCCCTTCCAACTTGATATGAGTCTAAGGGCAAGGGGGGGGGGCAGTGTGTGTGTGGGGGGCTTGCCAGCTCCAGCGCCTTCACCCCAGCTGACCAGCTTCGCTCAGGCGTGGGGCGCTGCTAGCCCGCGGCTGTCTCACGCCAACCTGACGGGCACGGAGAGTTCGGGCCCCGGGAGGGCTGGTCCTCATTGCCTTGGCGCTGCGGCGTGGGAAGCTTGTGGCAAACGCGTCCCGCTCCGCAGCGGTGCAGAACGCGAGCCTCCGGTCAGCCCACTTCTGCAGAGCTATTTTTAACCGGCCTCGACAGGAGCTTTTCTCGCTGTTGGAGCCTTGCTCGTTTGTAGATAAAACTCGGGATGGGTATTCGGGGGGGTGGGGGTTTAAAAGTCCCTGCAAGACCGCGGATACAGTATGCGACAGATGTTTCACGGCAAATCGGCGCTCAGGCTCTGTGATGTGTATTTTTAGCAATTGCAACCAAACCGTGGTGCTATTTAAAGCTTTCGTTCAGTAAAAGTGTGAGCCGGTATAACAAACAAGCTTTGCTTTGCAAAGAATGAAACGTGGAGGGAGGATGCCGGAGCTTGTAGTAGTATATAAACAGACCAGATGTCACGCTACCGATCTCTAAGTTGAATATTACTTAATACGTCTCTCTGCATAAAATAACAGGGTTGTGACATCTGACAAAGTCCAAAGGTTTAGTTATGGCTGATGCATAATTCAGAATAAAAGCACAAAGTTGATCAGCATCTCTCTTTATTCACCAACTACTTGCTGTTTACTTCTGTTAAAGACTGAAGCCATCTGACAGAAAATCAGATTTAGGCATGCCTCAGAAAAGTGGATTTTTGACAGGATAGGATCTGTGACGGGCTATTGGGTAAATCCCTCTTAGTTTACTGATTATTGGTCCGACAGACAGGAACTTCTCCTTCAGAGGCTCTGCTTTATCAGGTCAGACCAGCTGCTGCGCACGTGTACCAAATCTGTGCACTCAAAACCGTTTCGAAACTGTCATTGAAAAAAAAATAAAGAGGGAATATATGCAGGGAGCTGCGGTGCTAAACAAAACAGCTATTTCTGTGTTGCTATTTTTTTCCTCCCCCCTAAACCAGAGGTCTCCAAACTTCATGAGAGGAGGGCCATATTAGATTTTTTGAAGGGGCTTCTCAGGCTGAAGTAACTGTGAAATAAATTAAATATTTGCAAAATCATTAAAAAAAAACACTACTCTACTCTGTGTCAGTGTTGCATTAAATTCTAAATCCGGTGTAAAAGTTAATCAATGCAGGTACTGTGAAATCACACAATATTTGTTGATAGGTTAAAAATCATTTCACATTTTTTTTATTTCTAAAAACTCACATTTGTATCATACAAATACACATATTCAAAAATAAAGAAATATTATTTTAGAATTAGTGAGAAGTATGGGACTGATGTTTTTCTGACAACACTGCATTTAGCTGTGGTTCAAAGTTAGCGTTCCCTAGCACCAAAATTGATTGTAAATATTCATCAGACAAGGTCGATCTGTAGTGGGATTTCACATATTTCATCATCGAAAATGTTTTTTCGCACACATAAGTAGTGCCAAACACTGACATTAATCCACAGACAGAGTTTTTTACATGAGCGTATTGGTCACTTGACAGGCATTTATAGAACTCTACCAGACTTCCTTCCTTATGTTTGTCCTTCAACATGTCCTAGGATTGCAGGTCAGTCACTTCCATTTGAAGTTCAAGTGACCACTCCGCGTGCCTACTCAGCTGCAGCCTGCCTGCTTTGTGCTGATGGGAATCTGTGCCCGCCTGTTTGCTTCTCCTGCTTGGCTGCAGCAACAACTCGCCCCTAAGTTGGCTCCCAGAGGCACTCACCCCTCTGCACAGCTCAGCTGTGCTGCCCTCACCCCTGCATGAGCTCCTGCCGCGGCCCCTCCTCCTGCCTACTCAGCTGTTCGCCGCTTCTCCCCTGTTGGCCGAAGGGCGGACAAATGGAAGCCTGGGGCCGCAGTTTGGAGACCCCTGCCCTTAACTGTTGTAAAGGGCTGGTTCCGGTTATTGATGAATGGCCTGCAGAATTTTCGTGTTCACGCCACAGAAGTCAGCTGAGTTAGACTGGCTTGAGACTGGTGTTAGAGATGAAGCTTGGTTTTGAATCTAGACAATTGCCATGTAACTGTTCTCTGTTTGTATTATAAATCTAACTGACACTGCATAAAAGGTTTCTAAGGTCACTTTCTAAGTAAGGTAATTAAAATCGTTTATAGTTTTCATTTCAAGGAATAAAGAAGAGGACGACTTGTGGCACCTTAGAGACTAACCAATTTATTTGAGCATAAGCTTTCGTGAGCTACAGCTCACGTCATCGGATGCATGCTGTGGAAAATACAGAAGATGTCAATAAGCATGATTAAAATGAAGGCAAACTTCTTTTCTTATGTAGTTATCACTGATCTGAGCCTTCTGTCACTTACCTTGATGTAAATAAGGAGTACTTCCATCAAAACCAAAAGTGGTGTGAGATCAGAATCAGATTCTAGAATTCCAAGTCAAGCTGAACTTTGTCTTACCATTTTTTCTCATTTAGACCTTTCTTTTTATCTTAGGGATTTTTTGTTGAAGTAGGTGTATATTTTTAATGGGTCTGTGGGTGAGAGTTAATGGATTTAGATAAACCCCTCATGTTAATTCACATTCCTCAGTTCTTCTCTTGGGAATTTGAAGACTAGAGATCCATACTAACAGACCCACAAAATATAGTGATGTGTACCCGAGAGTAGAATTGACTCCTTAGACTCTTATATCTATATTTGTTCTGCTTTAGCTCTCAGCACATCCCACTCATATTCTTTCAAATGCTCACTTTTCACGTTTCTCACTCTCTGCCTTTTTCTTTCTCAGTGCCTATTGAGAACTGCAGCAAACTATAATAACATAAAGCTAAGGCCAGAGAACGTTTTGGGGATATTGAATTGTATTAGGCTAGGTTGTGGGACAGATACTGCTGTAATTTAACTAAGAAACTGGTTTATAGTAGGAAATAATTCATATTGTGTTTTAGGATATAATTTACTAGTAAAACAAAGTAGTTTCCTAGGAGATAGATTAAAACTTCTGTCCTGTAAGAAAAACTTTGAATACTTTGATGAAAGAAAATGTATGGACTTCAGGATCTTGGGAAACATAGAAAATGGTTAAACGAACAAATTTTATAATCCTGTAACTTTTTAGGCCCCACCCAGCGAAAATTTAAGCTGATTCGTAATGATGTGAGTAGCCCCATTGAACGTTACACTGAATTCAGTGGGACCACTCATGAGTAAAGTTATCCATGTATGTAAGTATTTCCAGGATCCGGGCCTAATATTATTTTGATTGGGGAAAGGAGGATTTTCTTTAATTTTAGTGCTGTTAAATCAGGATATTTAGTAACAGGCTAAATTTTAAATGCCAGGTTATTGATACATCTTATTTATAATTTGTTAATTATAAGGAAAGTTGCAACTAATTGCAGAGCCATAATGAGAAAGAAACTTCTGATTTTGCAGCATCATATATTAATGAGTCATTTGCTGACCCATTCCTTGAGGAAAAAAGGACATGGGCTGAAAATTCCACCTGAAAGAGGTCATGGAGGAGCAGAAGATGCCTTCTGAAGAATATGTATTTCAGTGAAGATTACTCTTCCTTCTGAAAAAGAGGACAAACTGAACTATGGAATATTTAACATTGTACCAAAATAGGTGGATGTGGTGGGGGAAAATATCTTGCATCTCCATCTCTATTATATATATATATATATATATATATATACACACACATACGTACACACACACACACACGCACATTTTTTTGGAAGATCACTACAACGTCAATCTGTGGACTTCTTTTATTGCTAAAATATGCCCTGGGGAATAGTAGGAAAACCTAGAAAAACCTTCACAAGAAGTGGTATCACCTGCCTGCCAGTCAGAAGGTTAGTGAGGTACTGTGATCAAAGCAAAGGAGTTAGTATCTCAAAGAAGCTTTGTCTCAGCACGCGAGGAGTGTCTGATACAACAGACTCCTTCATAGTCACAGACGTGGCTTCAGTAGATGCTCTTCTAGACACAGAAGCCGATGATGCAACTGGTAGGATCCTCTTTTATTTAATGTACTTGACTGTAATGAATTTCATAGTTCTGACCTAATGTTATGGTGATTTTTACGATCAACATATTACTAGGCCAAGTTCAGTCTTGGTGCAAGCAGCTGTGATCTAGGTCGCATTGGCTTACACCACGGCTGAATTTGGCTCCTGATGTCTTTTAACTTTGGCACAGATTTAATGGGAAACATTCAAGGCATAAGGATTCTGATGTTTTAAGTCTTGACCTGATGTCCAGGTCAGTGAAACTTAAGAAAGCAAGCACATGAATGGCTTACTAATTTTTTTATAAAGAGGTTCAGTATAAATCATGGAATGTATTTCATGGTTCTTTGTTAATGCTTATAGCTCTGCCTGATAAATTCTTTTAACAAAAGTCCTCAGTTGAAAAATTAAAGACACAGATTTTTGCTGAGTTGCTCTGCTCAGTGTTGCAAAGGCTAAAGTGACTTAGGCTCTTAAGTGCGTAAGGCCCAGATTCTCAAAGACATTTAAATTCTGAAATCAGGGGGAGTTAGGTGCCTAAATAGCTTTTGAGGCTCTAGCTAAATCACTTGTGAATATGAGACTTCGACTCCTGAGTCACTTAGGCCTTTCAGCACTGAGTAGAGCAATGCCTAAATAGTTTAAAAATCTGGGCCAAAGTGACTGGCCTCAGGGAAGGTAAGTGGGGAAATACAGATAGTTTTCAAACCATTGCATAATGTTATTACTAAAAAAGCAATATATTAGAGCACCTCAGTGAATGTAGAAAGCAGGTAACTTAAAGAAGTTTATAAAATGGTATAAGTAAGAATTCATATGATTGACTGTCCTTATGCCTTCATTGTTCTCCTTGTCAAGAAAACAATGCATCAAGAACAAGGCGATGAAGCAGTTGTAAAAATTAGCTTATTACGTGGTAAGTTAAAAATGATTTCTCCCCTATTAGGGTCTCATTCTACACTCTTTGCACATGCACAAAACGACCATTGTAATCACTGGGAGCTTTGCATACACAAGGACTGCAGGTTTGGGACCTTACTAGTTAATGAAGGGAGCTGCTTTCAGTCTTATCCCTCTTGATCTTCCTCTTCCCCTTCCAAACTGTATTATTTTGGCCAAGTTAATTGTTTTTGCATGGCTACTTGGAGGAGCCAGCATAAAGGAGTCATAAAGTGGTCTTAAGAGCCACCCACTGAATTCCTGGGGAGCTAAATTGGGTTCAGGGAGCATAGTTTGTAAAGACAGGACCAAGAATGTCAGTGTGTGAGGTTGAGAGCAGCCCCAAATTAAATTTGTATGTTCATTTGGGACATCTAGGAAAAAACAAAGGAGGACAGCTACTTATGTGAAATGTGTTTTTAAAAAGTCCCTTTAAATAAAAAATAACCTGAAGTATTTTTATTAATACTGTTGTATTTTTAGAATCCGGGGCACAGTCATTTGGAATCCTGCATGTGGAGGGCTTACAGAATTGGGCTCTTGCTTTTTAAAAATTAAATATGTTGCATAGCAGCATATTAATCTGGTTGGTGAAGAGACTTCTTAGTTTCAGTATTTACATTTATTGGAAATATTATACACGGGGGTTTTCAGATGATCAGAGAGCAGCTTTCATTCAGCCTTTTCATTCTGTTAATTGTTCTTGATGATCTGTTTTTTTTATGTCAAGACATTCTTCAACAGAGTATTTGTCATGTTCTGTTTACAAAAAGAAATGAAACTTCTTCTGTTGTGAAACAGACTAAAGGAATTATTGTCTTTATTACAGATTTCCCTGGATGACTTTTGCATACCCTGGGAGAAAATGGGTAGCCCAAGAAATGTTTGGATCATCAGAGAGAACAGCTGTAGAAGACCAAATAATAGCACGTGAAATAAGGGTCTCGAAGAAAATTGACTGACATATTGATGGCAGTAAACATTGGTATTTCAGACTTGAGTTACTTCAGGTAGCAAAAATGGTAAGCCAATTGGGGGTGGAGGGGGAAATGTCTAGCTGAGTTGTTGAACTTGTCCACCTGATGGACAGAATTACAAAGCAAAATGTACAGTTTTGGACAAAGCAATTCCTTTAGAGTAGTAAATGGTGATTTTTGGTTAATAATTTGTTCAAGCTTAGGGTTCACTTCAGAAACTTGTTGAAGTGGGACCTTGTCCTTTCAGTAACCAAAAATTAGGGGTAAGCATTTTAAAAAAAAGTGTGGGGTTGTTTTTTTTTTTTTTTTTAGTTTTTGTCCTTCCTTACTCTTCCTGCCAGTTTTTAATTTTATGAACTGGCTTACCTTTTTGGAGGCACTGCTTCTTGTCTCTTGCTGTCATGAAACACTGTTTCTGGTTGGAAACACTTTTCTTTGTCTCTTCTAGATTTTGGTTCACCCCTTTTCTGTTTTTTCTTCGGGTTTTATTTTTCTGTTCTTCGTCTGTTGTCTCTAGTCTCTTTTCACTTCCTCTCTGCCTCCACTCCCCCCCAGTACTCTGCTACTCTTTTTCTTTTACTCTTTGCTGTTTTTTCTTTTCCTTCACCACTATACATGTTTCTAGCATAATGACAATTCTAGTTTCTAATGATAGAAATGCTACCAGCAGTAGATATCAGATACCAGTAGGACCACTAACAAACCCTCTTAGACATTGTGGCTTGCTTTCATAGGGAAATAAAAATTCTGCAATGTCAGACAGGATTCAGAGTAGCAGCCGTGTTAGTCTGTATCCACAAAAAGAAAAGGAGGACTTGTGGCACCTTAGAGACTAACACATCCAGAGTGCAATTTTGCAGTCTGAAAAAACACCTTGCACCCTTTCTGTTGACAACCTCTTTTTCTTATGTACTTGCTTCAAAACTTCCTGAAATATCTCACTAAAGTTCCACTTTTGAGTAATGGAACTCCTCCAGGAGGACGTGATTACTAAATGAGTTCTTTTTTGGAATGAGACACAAATGTGTGTTAATAGCTTTTAAAAAAAATGTATGGGTCTTTTGTAAACTAATAAACATGTATTTAATATGTTTGTAAATAATGCTTGAGCCTTTATTATATAAATACTACCAAGAGAATAGTACCCTTTCAGTAGGGTAGCCCTTCCAAAGTCCACCTGCACTGGGGGCAATGATTGAGCTGAATAGGGTTGTAAAGCTGTGTATCTTTCATGCTGAAATGAGTCTCCCCATTCTTTTGAACTATGTCATTTTAAGGATGGAAAATACAATGAAACAAACTAAATAAGAATCCTATGGTATGCCAGAGAACAGATTTGTCAACCCTGTGGGCATGCTGCAAACCCCATCTTCCTCTCCTATGTTAGGCTATAGAGGAGGGTGTGGGTTGGAAAAAATATATTTAGGGGCAATCTTTGATTTATATTGTGATTTGTAACTTATGGGATGGGTTACTTTGAGCACTGGATGGACACCTTTCATTGTGCAGTAATATGTGCAGTAATAAATAATACAAAAGCTCCAAGTTCAGTATTTTTTTAAAAGCGCAAAACCATGTCAGTTTCCATTTAAAAGCAGTTTTCCACCAGAAATGTCTCCAACCAACTCACCCCAATAGCTAGAAGACTGAAACAAAGAAATCATACCTGACTATCACAGCTTCTGGTTCCACACTCTTTCAGGCAGGGTTAGCACCTGCTCAGGAATTCTGTTCTTGATTCTTCTGTGCTTACTGCCTTGTTTGGCGTACCTTGTAAAGCCACAGTTACAGAAATACGGAGATACTGCATTACTTTGTTTGCATACTGCTACCTTCTTTTCCCTTCAGCCCCAAAGATTTCCCATCATCCTCCCTTTCTCTGTCTCCCTCCTCAAGTTTCTTCCTCCCCAACATCCATGGCTTGTTTTTCCCCATTCAGACACTCCTGTTTCCCTCCATAACATACTAACTATATAGACTCTTCCTAAGGCATGGTCCCTAACCTACACATGATTACGGAGATGTGGCTTTAGTGATTACTTCACACTATGCAGTGCTACATCCATGTGATTAGATTAGGGACCATTCTCCAAACTCCTGGAGGACTCTGAACAGTCTTTATAGCTTAGAGTCCTAGGACATACCTAAAGGACTCAAAATATAGAGATTGCAGCTTGGAGCACCTCTCCCTCACGCCCCAGCTCTTCCAGCAAAAACAGGAGATAAAGGCAGGGCCGGCTCTAGGCACCAGCAAAACAAGCAGGTGCTTGGGGCAGCGCATTTCTAGGGGCGGCATCCTGGCGCCGGCCATGCCGCCCCTAGAAATGTGCCCCCGCCGCCCCAGCTCGCCTCCACTCCACCTCTGCCCACTCCCCTGAGCATGCCGCCGCCTCTCCGCTTCTCCCCCCTCCCTCCCAGGCTTGCCGTTTCGCACGGGGGAGGCAGCAGTGGTGGAGCGGAGGTGAGCTGGGGCAGGGAGCGGTTCCTCTTCCCCCCCTCCGTTACTTCCTGCGCTCTCCCCCACCCCCGCTCCCCTCGGCTCCGCCTGCTCCCCTGAACGCGCTGCCTCTCCCTTGCCTGAGAGGGAAGGGGGAGAAGCAGAGCAGCGGCATGTTCAGGGGAGCAGGCGGAGTGGAGGTGAGCTGTTGCGGGGCGGAGCCACAGGAAGCAATGGGGGGGGGGAATGCGGCACGCCCAGAGGAGGAGACAGCGTGGGGATTTGGGGAAGGAGTTGGGGTGGAGCCAGGGGGTGGGGGGACACGAAATAAAAGCAGGGGCAGCCAAAAGAGTTTTTGCTTGGGGCTGCAAAAATCCTAGAGCCAGCCCTGGATAGAGGCATATGCTCATGAAACCAATAGGGAGTGTCCTAGCGGGGTTCAGGAAATTGACCTCTGGTTTGGTAGTTTCCACCAGTACAAATAAAATGAGATTAAAATGCTATCAGTTTAGAATAGGGGCATTTCCCCACACTTTGCATGTGTGTGACTAAGTGACTGTACATGTTACATGACAGTGGAGAAATAGATCTTCCGCCTGTTGGTTTAGAAGTTGAAGTCCAGGTACAAAATTTGAAGAGGATGCACGATCATTTTCTCTTCTAATGACAAAAAGGAGATCCAAAAAGTAATTGTATTTCAAATGTACTTTTTATGGTTTATCGGCTTTTCAAAGTTTTTTTTAAATTTTTATAACATACTTCTGTAAAGCCAATGAGTTTTAAACAGCTAACATTTGGAGCAACTCAGAATTGAAAAGTTTATTTTGATCATAAAATCATGTTACATAGATATTTTATAGAGATTATGTATGTACTATGCATTAAATGTATAACATCCATTTTTCAGTCATTAAAGATGACATTCCTTGCAAAGGTAGAAAACAGGATACAAACTATTCTTTCCTTTGACTCATGTCTCCACATTTACTCATAAGATTCTCATTGATATTAATGAATGAATGAATTAATTAATTAGCTAAATCCCCTTTGGCAATGCAATGTATGTGGTTGACGGCCCTCTTCCCCCTTCACTTCACTTAACTGGCCTATATGACAATCAGATTTATGGGAATAGTGCTTCATGGTGGCTGAAAGGCAAACAAATCTGGGACTCCTATAAAGCTATTCAATTGGGTTGCCATCTGCAAGGCCCAAGATTCATGTGTATACTTCTCTCTGGACCCTACATCTTCACCCTTCTTCAAATAACTCTGCCATAAAAACAGGGGGAAGGTTTGTGATCCAGAGGGTGAGGTCCAATTGGGAATTTGATCAAAATTAATGTGTTTTCCCAGGGGACTCAGTTTACGTCCACAGAGCTCTCATTCCATACCACGGGCACTGGAATGTGAATGGTAAACTGCATTATCACCTTAGCCTGTCACTGTTGGGATGGAGCGCACTTCAGCTGCAGGTTTAGCAGTATTTTCTGAGCAGGACTTCCTTGGGTTAGGACTTTCCAAGTAAATAAATCCTCCCCATGTCCTAACACAGGAATCAGTTCTTATCTTGCTGATTGATATTCCATGTGACTAATCAAGAACATAGCTTTTGTTAGTAGGCCATGTCAACTAAACCTGAATAGGAGTACAGTATTACTGTACAATCTTGTATTAGTCAGCCACAGAAAGCATTTAGGGCCTGATTTTCAGACATGCTGAACACTCAAACTCCATTTGAAGTCAATGGGAACTCTGATAATTCGTTACCTTTGACAAATAGGTAAAAAAGCCCATGCAGGTCTTTCCTTGTCTGACCACTCAGGAGCTATTGGTCAAGCAGATGGAGGGGTAAGTGCCATGTACAGTCTTGAAGATTTCCATGCAGTCTTTATATGGGAGATGAAGGTAAAGAGTGTGTGGAGGAGGAATACTGGAAGTCCCAGAAGCAGACTGCTTATGTGAATAGTAGGAAATTTGCTACAGTAAATTTCAACAAAAGTGGGGTTTTTTTATCAAAATTTTCCCTGAAGTGTTTTTTGTCAAAACACCAAAAACTGACATATTTTGTCCAAAATGAATGTTTTTCCATCCAAAAACTGCAATATTTCAGTCCAAAGCTAAAAACTTCTTGCCTTTCAGGCATTTGTTTCCTAAAATTTTCCCCCAAAAGCAGGTGCTTTTCATGAAAAAATTTGTTTAATGCAAACCGCAATTTTCAACTGAAAAACAGTTTCAGTGGAAAACTTTGAGCAGCCCTTGTGGGTAGTCTCCTCTCCATTGTCAGCAGCAACAAACTTAATTAATGCCTCTACTGTCAACATCAATAAGGTAGATTGAGTGAGCCTTCCTACTTCCAGCTAATTATAAAGACCTGTTCCTTTCCCAATCTGTCTTGGGGGCAAATAAGTGAATTTACTTCACCCCTAGAGTTGACAGAGTGGTATGACCCAATTGGAGGTGGGGAAAGAACAAGTTTAGCATGTACACCTGGAAAGCCTGAAAGGACAAAAGTTACTTCCACGTTCACTTCTCATTACATGACACCTTTCACCCCTTCACTCTTTGAGCAGCTCTGTAATTCCTGGCTGTTGAGCTAGAGCGGTGTATTAGCATTTTTGCTTTTCTTCAGCTCCCCTTGGATAGGTTAGCCTGTGTCAATATCCACAGTCTTATTTTGAGACAGTGGTGATGCTTTGCTAGGATAGGACCCTAAGATCTTTTAGGTTTGGTGAAGAGCTAGACACTGGCCATTAACTTTAAATAAATGTTCTCTGTATAAATTCATATGGACTAAATTCATTCCTGGTACAACTTCATTGACTTCAAAAGGAGTTTCTCTAGTTTAGGCAACTTTCTAATACTGAATGGGGAGCAAATTAGTATGGGTGATCTACAAATAAAATGTTTTTAAACATTGTTTTTATTTTATTAGTAATGTGCATGCATTTGTCATGGCTCAATTATGGGAAATCTTTACATAGAAAGTATCTCTTCAGATTATCTTTTGTTGAATTCATTTTTACTGGGATTCCATCCGATTATAATACTTCAGCAGTGTAATACTGTTAATCTAACATTCAGGTTCATATGATTATGATTTACTAACAATCTGTGTTAATGTTTTAGTAATGCAGTGGTTAATAATAGGGCATTTAGATAATTACAGTTTTTAATATGATTCAATTTGCAAATTGTTTTTAATTACTGATATATTTACAGGCTGGAAGTGTAAAATTTTTGTAACTGTGGGATTCCAGGATGGCTTTTTCTACAGTTAAAACATACCAACCCAACCTTTTGTTGTTACCATGTGAATGGTTTTAAAGAAACAAAATAAATGTTTTTCCATATTCCAATTGAGCATGCGGATGTTCATTAATCTGTTTCTTTAAACACATTATTTTTTTGAGATCATGAAATTTGAATATTTTTGGCTCCGAGCTAAGTGAAACTAAAACTACATGGCATGGAGCAGAGCGGACCTCATCAAATCATGAAAATTATGCTACAAAGCAGGGGAGTGGACTCTTGTAGTGTGCTTTCCCGGCACCTGAGCTGTGAAGCCCTCCACACGAAGAAAACGTGTTTGGGGCTCTGCAGCTTTTGGGAGGTACTGTGACTGGCTGAAATATCATGGGTCTGGGGAACAGTTTCTCAACACAGAATGTTCCCCTTCAGAACCTGTAGATTTTCCCACCGAAAGCTCAGCAGAAGTTAATAGTATTCATTGGAGCCTTGAATTCCATTGTTTCTACCTTAGATAGAGGGACCAAAGCAACGTGGCTGCTCAGAGATGCCAGCATTTCAAAAAATGATCCTGATAACAAGCTGGGATAATCTGGAGTCTGCTCAGGGGAAGTGGGAGGGAAAGGGTACGTGCATGCTTTCTGAAGAGAATTTGAAGTGATTTGCAACATGAATATTTTAATTCTCAAGGCCTCAACTGGCTTTGAGTTCAGCTAAGCAGCCAGAACCCATGAAGATCCCACTTCACCCTTTAATTAAAAAAAAAAAAAAATTCTGACTCATAACTGGTGCCCCCTCACCTACAGATGATTCTCTTCTTGTGGGGAGGCCCAGTGACCTTCAATTCCCTCCTCAACTGGCATCATCAGCAACCAGTTTCTCACTTTGATATCTAATTAATCTATCTTCTGCATTCTTTTTCTCCAGTGGAGGGCTGTGTGCGTGATGTCTCTGCTACTTTGGTCGTCTTTTTCTAGGGATTGGAAAGGTTTGGGGTTCCCCTATTCTTGTTTTATTACGGTCTCCTCTCCCCCCTCAGTATGTGCCCATCTGCCCAGCTCTGTGTCCCATGAGTATTCTGGGAAATGAGTACTCCCTGGGAAATATTTTCTTTACAAATTCCCCCATCCCTCTTCACCAGTCCCAGCAAACTCAGGGTGAAAACCTGGCTACAGTGAAGTCAATGGGAAAACTCGGAGTTCAAGGTTTCCCACTCAACATCTATATGGGGCAATAATTGGTCTATGAAAGGCAGGAATCTTGATCTGCCGTAGTCAGGATCCAAATACTTACCAGGCACTGGGGATCCTGCCATCACTGCCCTTTTTATGCATGAATAGTAACTGCAATAAGGGACCAAGACATAACATCTTTCTCCCCATCCTTTGTGTGCCCTGGGACCATCTTTAAAAATGTAGAACTGTCCTGGCTAGACTATCACCACCAAGCCAGCTGTGCTTTCTGGTCCCCCTTCTCCTTACACAGCTCACAGTGGGGCTGACGGTCAGTGCAGATGCCCAGAGAGCTATATAGTTGGGACTAGTACACTTAGTGGAAGTACATGGCTACATACCTAGCCATATATACTCTAGCTGTCTATTAACCCTTCACCAATCCCTTTACCCTTTGGGCAGTATATATTGGAAAGTCAGTTGAAATTTCATATATGTTAGACAAACAAATTATGACTCAGATGTTGATGATTCAAGATTATCTCGGCAGGGAGAAGACCACAGACTATTGCAATACCTCCCTTGTCTAACCATTTCAGTAAGTGGATTTTGTGTTCAGTGGATCAAGGACAGTTTGCCTGGCCCATGTTGTCTGGATGGATAACATCAATCTGTTCTTGATGTTCTTTGCCCCCCTCTGCTTTCTACTCACAGGAAATGCTCCAGATTATCAAATTTTGCAAATGTATGAGCTGTTTGCATAAAACTGCTGGTGTGAGTGTATATGTACATGATCTGCATATATATATGCATTTGTGTTTGCATGCAT